GGGGCGGGGCGGGGCGGGGGACATACCGGCTGTCGAGGAAAGCCACCAGCGTGGCCTCAATGTACTCGGTGAAGACGCCAAAGAACTGGGCATACCGCACGGCGTTCTCGAAGAAGAGCAGCTGCACTGCCGAGTGGGGGTACGACACGATGTTGCTGGTGATCATGGAGTGCAGCATCGCGTGCAGGGAGAAAAGGGCCTGCTCCTCGGGGGGGACCGTGCGCGAGAAACGCAGCGAGGCTGCAAGCGCGCAAGTGGACGCAAGAGTGAGTGGGGCGTCGGGAGGAGGGGAGTCCTTCTGCAGATGGGCAGAGAGCGAGGGGTAGGACCAAAAGGCCGGAGGGCCGGGCGATCAAGGGGGGGGAGAGAGAGAGAGAGAGAGGGGGGGGGAGGGAGGGAGGGAGGGAGGAAGGAAGAGAGGGAGAGAGAGAGGGAGAGAGAGAGGGAGAGAGGGAGAGAGGGAAAGAAAGAGAGAAAGAGGGAAAGAAAGAGGGAAAGAGGGAAAGAAAGAGGGAAAGAAAGAGAGAAAGAGATGCCGCCACGTGCGGCCGGTCGCACACACGCACTCTTGATGCAGTCACTGTAGGTATACAGCAGGAAGAGGGCCAGCTCCGCGTCCTGGTACGGAGCCGATGGGTTCGACAGGACGGCCAGCACGTTGCGCTCGACGAAGCTCACGAAGATCGATTGCTGGATGGAGCAGATGTGGTCCAGCTGGATCTTGATTGTCCGGCGGAAGTCGTCCACCTCCTGCCGGCCCTCATCGTCGTGGCTGAAGTCGAAGTCCGCCGGGAACTTCAGCTTCGACACCAGGATCTGCAGCAGACGCTCCAGCGCGGCAAGCTGCTCCCCAGTCAGGGGGGTGCTGCGGGCCGACTGGCGGAGCTGGAGGGGTTGAAGGAGGGGGGGAGGGAGGGAAGGACATGTCAGCGAACAGGCGGATGGATGTACTCCAGCAGATCGGCCGGCAGACACAACGGCACACACCAGCACCAGGAAGGCCTGCGAGAATTCGAAAATCACCCCGAGGTCCGTGTCCTCCGACTCACCGAGCAGCTTGTACAGGACCGGCAGCAGGGACTCGATCACGGTGTACACCTGCGCCTGGTAGGCCTTCTCGCCGGCCAGCTCATTCCAAGAGGAGATCAGCGAGACGGCCGTGTCATTGAAGAGCTTGATCACGGGCTCGCTGATGTCGGAGGACTTCTGCGCGGCCCGACAGCCCGGGGTGAAAGTTGCGAGGCGAGACAGAAAGAGGGAGCAGAGTCAGAAGGAGGGAGGAGGGTCAGAACATGGCACTGGGGGCAGGGCGGGGCGGGGCGGGGCGCAGGGGAACACGAACCATGATGAAGGCCTCGAAGATGTTGTGAAGGTGCAGCTTGTCCAGGAGGGCCAGGCGAGAGAGGGGGGGCATGCCCTTGAGGACAATCTGCCGATGGACAAGTCAGTCAGGACATGCGCAGGGCCGAGGAGAGAGGCAGCACGAGGGGGAGCGAGGGCAGCAATGGAGAAAACACGGGCCGGTCGGAGGGGGCCCTGTGTGGGGAGACACGCACGCCGTTGACACATTCGCATGCGGCGTCGCGGAACTGCTCGGACTTGAGGAAGCTGCTGTAGGCCGAAACGAAGTTCGGCGTGACGACCAGATCCAGCTCGATCCAGGCTGTGTGTGTGGGGGGGGAGGGGGGGGGCAGGGAAAAGACGGTGAGTTGGCGACGTGACCGGGTGTGCACAGGGAGGGGGGGGGGGGGCGGATGGCTGGCTGGCACATACAGACATAGATCCCGATGACGCTCAGGCAGAGGTTGATCAGGCCCGGGTCCGAGGAGTGGTATGTCCCGAGGATGAAGTACCAGGAGTCCACCAGCTGGGGGACATCCGTGTCGCGCATGCGGTCCTTCTGCAAGTGGGGCCCGGCCAGGGTGTTGGTAGGCGGTTAGCATACACCGCGGATGGCCAGGGGAGGGAGGGGGGGGGGACAAACTAGCGCGAAATGCCCAAGCAGGCGGCGCCTGCTGCCAGCGTACGATGTTGGTGGCCAGCGCCGCCTCGGTGGGGAAGCGCTGGATGTCGCGCGAAATCAGCTCCTGATCCAGGATGATCAGGATGCGCAGGTACATGTCCACCATGGCTGGGCTCTGGTGGATGAGCGACAGGATGTCCTGGAAGAAAGAGCCCCAGGAGGTAAGGTATTCATGCATGAAGATGTGCACCAGGACGGTGAGGAACTTATGCTTGAAATCTAGAGGCCGGCAGGGGGTGAGTATGTGTGTGTGTGTGTGTGTGTGTGTGTGTGAGGGAGGCGGAGAGGGGGAGGGAGCGAGGGAGAAAGAGGCAAAGAGAAACGGAGAAGAACAAAGAGACAGAGAGGGAAAGGGGGAAAGAGGAAGAGACAGAGACGCAGACGCAGACACAGACACAGACACAGAGAGGGAGGAGGAAATGGGCGAAGAAAGATCGTGAGGGTGGTGGACCACGCACAGACAGGGTCATTCGCGTGGGCAGTGGCGAAGGACGAGAGCCACTGCATCAGGGAGTTGCGCAGGGAGAGACGCTGGTCGGTCGGGATGGCCGCATACCGGAACTGCACGGCATCCTGCAGAACCTGCAGGCAGATGTAGAAGGTCTCGCCGCGGATGCCGGCCGGGCGCTCCAGGAACAGCTGCAGGCAGAAGCGCCAGCCATCCGGCGCGAGACGGATCATCTCCACATACTCGAGGGCCTGGTACCAGATGGGGCCGAGGGGCAGGGGGAGGGCGGAGGGCGGAGGGCGGAGGCAGGTGTCAGCCGAGCACCGGCCAGGGGGGGGCCCCGAGGAAAGAGGTCATGGTCATGGGGAGGAGGGGAGGGGCGGGAGGGAGCCACGCACCTGGGCCTTGACGTCGGCCGGCGAGGCCGAGTCAAAGCAGAGAGCGACCGCCTGGTCGAACTTTGCGTAGTCCATGGCGGTAGTTGCGTGTCGGGGGGGACACACCGAGGAGAGGCGAGCGGGAGAGATGGAGAGTAAAGGGCGAACCGGGCGCGCGTGCGGCTATGTCACACTGCGACGGGGCGCGCAAGAGGAAGAGGAGGAGGAGGGCAGCGAGCGGCCCGATGGATGGCTTCTCGGGTGTCGGCCGAGAGAGGTGTTGGGTGATGGCCCCCCTGGGAAGAACCTCGCCTGCGGGCCGGGGGGGGGGGG